ATAACTAATACTATTATAAGAAAGTGGTTTTAAAGAAAGACCTTAATGTAACCTTACTTATAAAACACACAGAAATCAGTAATTTCCTTCGTGTACTCTCAATGCATGATTTTCTGTTCCTTTGTGGTACTTGCTATCCCTCTCTTTTTATGATACTTGGTATATACTATATGCTTTCTACCTTCGTATTTTAACAGTCCGGCATGGCCATGTGATTAGGGCGCTCGACTCGCAATCTGAAGGTCGCGGGTTTGAAAACCTGTCCCACCAAACATGCTCGCTTTTTTAGTCGTGGGGGCGTTATAATGTGACGGTCAATCCCACTCTTCATTGTAGCCCGAGAGTTGGTGGTGATGACTAGCCGCCTTCCCTCTAGTCTTACACTGCTAAATTAGGGACAGCTAGCGCAGATAGCTCTCGTGTAGCTTTGCGCGAAATTCAAAAACAAACAAACTTATTTTAATGTATAAATTTTCAATCTTTTCGTTTATTCTGAGTTTATTAAGTTTTCACATAAAATATAGTGGTGTTGTGCTAAATATTTTAATACTGGATTGGTTTTTCGTAATTAAGAACAAAGCTACACAATGGGCTATCTGTGCTCTACCCACCACACGTATCGAAACCCAGTTTCTAACGTTGTAAGTCCGCAGACATGCCGCTGTGCTACTGTGGGTGGGTGGGGGCTTAATACTGGAAACCTATAAAATGTATCAGATGAGTGATAAGGGTAAAAATTTCATATTCAAAACCTAAATTCAATTTTTGTGAGTCCATTCCAAATAAAGAAAATACACACAGTACTGGTTATTTGAGACTACCTATGTTATTACTAAATTGAATACCAATACATATTACCGAGAGATAGCAAGTAATTCCACCACCTTATATCAAACATCAAGGAAAAAACATTAACAACAATTAGATGCTGTATAAAATCAGTACATTAAAACAGTTTTTTGTATACGTCTTATTTATTTACTATATTTCTAACTGCGCTACAGTGTTAACTATTTTGACCTTTATTATACTTTACACACCTCCTGTTGTATCAATACGAATAACTAAGAAAAGCAACCTTCGTTGTATATTTTGTAAATACTAATTTGGTTCTTTATAGATAAGTACAAAGCCTATCTGTACTGTGCCCACTAAGGGTATCGAAACCCGGTATTTAGCGGTATAAACTTTCAGACTTACTGCTGAGCCACTGGATGGCGTAAATAATAAGCCTTTTAGAAATGTCTACGTTTTAAATGCATAGTATAATTGTAAAATATATTTTATTGAGTGTTTTAATACTGTATTCGTGTTTATTAATTACCACGTAACCTATGACAAAAACATTTCGCCATTTTGACACCTACTCCTGGGCCAGAGCAGTCACACGATTCCTGCTTGTTTGTTTTTGTTTTTTGAATTTCGCGCAAAGCTACACGAGGGCTATCTGCGCTAGCCGTCCCTAATTTAGCAGTGTAAGACTAGAGGGAAGGCAACTAATCATCACCACCCACCGCCAACTCTTGGGCTACTTTTTTTACCAACGAATAGTGGGATTGACCGCCACATTATAACGCCCACATGGCTGAAAGGGCGAGCATGTTTGGTGTGACGGGGATTCGGACCCGCAGATTGCGAGTCGAGCGCCCTAACCACCTGGCCATGCCGGGCCCACGATTCCTGACGCCAGCTCCTGAGGGAGAGTAAACGGTCTGAGAGAGCTCTACCAGGGGACATGGGGGATCACAAACAGTCAGAGTATTTTATGACACTCCGAGAGTTTGGTTATGAATGACAATTCATTTCAAGTGAATTACATATTTTTAGTTTTCAAAGTGTCAGAACTCAGCTCCAATTTCAGATGCTGGCGCTGTGCTCCAGTAGTACTACACCTCTGATAACACGTGGTCCAGAAAGTCATTAAGTTGAATTTATTCAAGCTGCCTTTATTATTCTTTGGAGATAATGCCTGTTCTGCCCATGGGTGGTGTTGCTATACCACTACATGTTTTGCAAAAATACGGATGACAGTAGTTTTCTGTAGTGGTAGGTTAGGTGATATTTCAAGGTTATAGCCTCCCGTATATTGAATGAGAAAGATCAGTTACATGGATAGTGCTAGTCACTAGGTGTAAATCTGACATTTCCGTTTAAGTAAGAAACGTTAGATATAAACAGTACTACATGAGATCTTAAATGAGTTAGTTGACGGGATGACATTTGAAAAATTAATAAACCCCGGTAAATGCAACTACCCAATGCAAGTAACATATTGTATTTTTGTTTTTGTGAATAAATAGTTTCATATTATATTACACATCATGTAGTCTTTTATTTTTTAACTTAATCTTAGTTTAGTTAAATTCAGTATTACTTCGTGATTTATCTTGTCAATCCTCCAATTATAAAGTATGCCTACCTAATACCCTTTGTGGAAATTTGTTTAACCTTAGAATACCACATAATAAAATTTTTCACAATTTTCATTTATCCTAGTATATCTAGTTATATCATAGAACGATGCTAAATTCCTTTTGCACTTGCTACCTATTGTTCTGTGTCATTCACCTTTTTCTTCCCTTGGGGAAGATTTATGCAAAATTAGCATAAAGTAACATTTTCCACTTAAAGCTCAGATGATGACCCCAGGGTATAACCTCCCTTATGTTTCAATTGGAATGACCAAAGTCACCTGGATAGTGTACATTCCCTGAGAAAAGTAGCATCGTTGTTCAGTGTTTATAATAGTAGGTTTTCTCAGTTTGGAATTATTATTTTTTTTTAGTTTTCACAGTTCAGATTTAACTACAACCATTTCTTTCCAATAAGAGTACTGTCCCTTCTGCAGATATATCTTGATTGTGTTTGTAAATGTTGAATAAAGATTGTCTCATTGTGTTCAGTCTCTTTTGTTCTTAACTCAGTCAGGTTCAGAGAATTCAGACTTGCCCCGTAATACCTTTTCTGCTGAAACCTACTGCTATTCTGAGGAGCCTATCTTATCATACGAGGAAAATCAGATAACCTGAGAATACCACACCTTTTTATTAACACACTAAAATCATTGATCTCATTTTATATTATGTTAATATTTTGTCTTATGACAACTTAATAGAAGTTGAAATCTTGCAGTTTTAATTGAACAGTTTCAGTTTAACTGGAAATGTTTTTGAAAAGCTCCTTCAGGATTTTATGTTTTCTACATACCACATCTCAAATGATATAATTCATTACTTTGTCATCGTGTTTGATGAATGAAGTACCGATAACTCTAACCAAACATTTAAATCTTAGTGAAGGTTTATGTTCCCTATGTTTTGAATTTTTATTTGGAGCGAGTTTTTTCTTCTTTGTTTCATTAGATGGTCTTATTACAATAATGAGGTTCTTTAAAGTAAAACTCAGAACCCACTCTAACAGAACAACAATAAATTTATATGGATACAAGTTTCGACACTGTCACGTATCCTCTTGAGTCCAATGTTGGCCTGAAGAAGACGTGTGAAAGTATTGAAACATAATCTATCCCCATAAATTTTATGTTTATTCCGTAACGGTGGATCTAACCATTACATTATATGGTATTGTGTATATATATCTACTATGAGGTTGTTTGTTTAGTTTTTATGCTTTTCAAGATTCTTTCCATATTACAAATTGTAGGAACTTCTTTTTGCCAAGGAAAGTGGATTTCAATGAACCTGAAATTGTCAGATAACACTAATACATGAAAGGTGTTGTTACTTAGTAACTAGTAACACTATATTATATTGTTAAATAATACTTATACATGAAAGGTGTTGTTACTTAGTAACTAGTAACACTATACTATATTGTCAGATAACACTTATACATGAAATGTGTTGTTACTTAGTAACTAGTAACACTATACTATATTGTCAGATAACACTTGAGGGTGTTCTCCCATTTGCTTCTTCGGCTCCTGC